GCAACGGCGGCTGCGCTTCTTCGCGGGCTTGATCATGCAGGGGCCCCGCTTGAGCTCGTTATCCTCGGGTTTCTGGTCGTCGAAGCTCGCGCCCTCGAGCTCGCTGGAGTGCCCCAGCTTCTCGTCGAGAGCTGTTCTCTCGAAGTGCACGTTGTCCTCGAGCGTGCAATTGTTCCGAAGCGTCCTGTCCTCGAGCTTCCAGGAGTCCAGCATGTCCTTCTTGTCCTCGAGCTTCTTGTCGTCGAGGCTCTTGTCCTCGGGCTTTCTGGTGTCCCCCCCCCCAGCGTGGTCGGTCGCGCCTCCTCGCGCTGCTCGACGCCGCCCTCGGTCTTCACCTCCTCGAAGTTCTCGGCATGCGCGCCGTTTGGCGCCCGATCGTCGCTGTCCGACTCGGCCACCCTCGTTGCCGGAGGGGGGAAAGGGCTTTGAATGCTTGATCCTGAATGGGCCACGGAGAGCGTTGCGCCCTCAGCGGGCTGGACCCGCGCAGTGCTTGCACCACAGAAGCTTGCGACCATTGCACCACGTAGCTTGCGCCACCGCGGCGATGCATCGGCGGTCCTCGGCGATGCATCGGCGATGCGGCGGGCATGGCCTGTGCTCTTGTGGCAGCTGTTGTTTGTGCTGTTGAGGTGTGTATTGTTGCTGTTGTGGCCTGCTGCTGCTGTTGATTAGCGGGTTGCTGTTGCAGTTGTGACTGCTGTTGGTTGTGCTTGTGTTGCGCGTGCGTGCGCGTGTGTGAGTGAGAGAGAGAGTGTTTGAGAGTGTGTACCTGAGTTTGTGTGAGCGTGTGTTTGAACGTGCGTGTGTGTGTGTGCGTGTGCGTGTGTGTTGTTTGTGTGATGTATATGTGTGTGCGTGCGTGTGTGCGCGCTTGCGTGTATGTGCGTATGCGAGTGCGTGGGCGCGCGTGCGTATGCGCGTGTGTGTTTGTGTGCTTGTGTTTGTGTGCGAGCGCGTTTGCGCGCGTGCGCGTGGCCGCTGGGCGTCGAGGCTCGATCCTCGATCCCCGGGCCCAGGATCCTCGAGTCCAAGCTTGGCGATCCTCGGTTCTAGGATCCGAGGTGCTCGCAAATGCTCAAGACCAAGATCTCGAACTCTCGATCCAGAAGTCGAGGATCGATCCTCCTTGATGGCAGTCTGGGCCCGAGGACTGCGACGAAGGAGATCGACGATCGCCGAGGCTCGACCCTCGACCCTCAGCATCGCGAACCCGAGATCTTCGCGTCGAAGCGCGGCGACCCTCGGATCTAGGATCCAAGGCGCTCGAAGATGTTCGGAGCAAAAATCTCGGACTCTCGATCGGAGGATCGAGGATCGAGGCCCCCTGCTGGCGGTCTGGGCCCGAGGGCGGCGACGGAGACGATCGACGACCGCCGAGGCTCGATCCTCGATCCGCGGATCGCGAACCCGAGATCTTCGAGCCGAAGCGCGGCGACCCTCGGATCTACGATCCAAGGCGCCCGCAGCTGCTCGGAGCCAAGATCTCAGATCCTCGACCCGGAAATCGAGGATGAAGCCTCCTTGGTGGCGGTGTGGGCCCGACGACGGAGACGGGGGCGATCGACGAATCGACGAGGATCGCTCCTCGATCCTCGGATCGAGGGCCCGGGATCCTCGAGTCCAAGCTTGGAGATCCTCGGATCTAGGATCCGAGGTGCTCGCAGATGCTCAAGACCAAGATCTCGGATCCTCGATCCGAGAATGGAGGATCGAGCCCGTTTGATTGCTTGATGCTTGGTCGAGGCTCACAGGGCGAGGGGGGGGGGGGGGGGCGCCCCGCAGCTTGGAACGCCACCCGCGCGTGCTCGAACGCTCGCTTGGAGCGCACAAGCAGACGGGGCCCGCGCGCGCCTCGAGACGCTCGCGCGGCGCCCTCGCAGGGAAACGCGCGGGGGGCGATTGGCTCGGGGCGCTCGTGCGCCAGGCGCTCGCCGCTCGCCGCCGCTCGGCTCTCCAGCGCCCTTCGGCGCCGACTTGTCGGCCTCTGGCCCGGCCCCAGCGTCGGCCCAGCTCTCCTCGGGCTCGCGCCGGCGGAGCATCTTTTCGTGATCGTTGTGGATATTGCCGAACTTTCGGACATTCATATTGATGCGCTGGTCGAGTGCCTGTCGGTGCTTGCGCGGTCATGCTCGGGGCGCTTGTACATGTAGTTATCCTGCTGGAGCTCGCAAGCAATGTCGGCCGTGCGCTTGAGGCCCCCCGCGCAACTTTACGACCGCATGCGCGGTGGTTCGAGCGCGGACAGCGTTCTGCACCACGCCGCTCTCGCGGCGCCAGTTGACGGATTGATTGGCCTCATGGTGGGTCATCTCGAAGAGCCAGACCTGATCGCTTGGCGCGCCGGAGAAGAATTCCTCGGGCATCTACTCGACGGGCTCGAAGCTCTTGCTGATCGGCAGGACGAGATCGTGGAGGTGGAGGAGCTCAGAGGGAACATCGGGGAGGGCCTTGCCGACGCGCTCGGCGTAGGGGCCGGAGCTGAGGCGCCGGGCGCTCTCGGCGCCGAGCTCGATGTCCTTCTTCTTGGCAAGCATCTTCGACTTGGCCCTCGGCTTGAGCCCGGGGAGGTTCTCGGGCGAGTCTCCGCGATTCTCGAAGATGTCGCAAGGGCGGTCGTCTGCCTCGCAGTGGGTCTTGTAGAACAACGCCACCGCCAGCTCGACGCGCCTCTTGTCCTTCTCGTTGAAGATGTGCCCGTACTCGATGCTTTCGAGGGAGCCGCCGTTGTAGACCATCTCGCGGCTTGCCAGGCGCCCGCCGACCACAGGGCGCTGTCCGCCTTGCAAAAGCAGGCCGTCATTCTTGCTGCGTCAGAGTCTCGCGCGATCGACTGGCATAGGCGCATCTCGGCAATGGCGATCTTGTCCGTGACGAAGGACAGCCCATCGAGGATATTATCGCTCTTCTTGGCCATGCGCTCGAGAATCTCGTTCGAGCTCGGGCTCGCGCTCTGGGTCGCGACCCCCTGCAGGGCCGCGACCTGCTGGGTCACCGCCTGGGCGCGCTCGGCGGCCTGGGGCTTGGCTGAGGCTCGCGACACACTCAGGGGCAACGGCGCGGGGGGGATAGGCCTTGAGCGGGGAAATATCGACCCCGAATCAACGATGCATCGCCGATGCATCGGCGATGGGCGCCCGATCGTGGACCCGCGCGTTCCTGGGCAGGTTCGGGCTATCGAACCACTCTGTGCGATCAATGGGCGATTGGGGATCGATGCGTCCCCTCATGCCATATCCCCCCCTATCGTTGCCCCTGGGGGAGGTGCAGCTCGGTGCCCCGAATAGGCTCGAAAGCGTGGATTCTCGGAGACTCGGGGAAGCTCGGGCCTGGGCAGTTGCGGGGGAGGAGGAGGAGGAGGAGGAGGAGGAGGAGGAGGAGGAGGAGGAAGAGGAAGAGGGGCCACGAACCGTGTGATGGAATCGTTAAAAATTCAAATGCCCTGCCTGCTCGGCAAAAAAACGCATGTAACTTGAACATCCCATCGGTCCCCATGGCCCTGCCACACGTTCCTGACGTGGGAACGGCTGAGGAAGTGAAAGCCCCATGGCCCTGCCGCACGTTCGTGACCTGGGAAAACTGAATTGGTGAGAATCCCATTGCCTTGTCACACGCTCGTGATTGCGGAAGCTGAAATGGTGAGACCACCATTGCCATGCTCAGCGTGTTTGGTGCTGTTGCTAGCCAGCACGAAATTAGAACAGCTTCGATTCGCAACTTCCCCTGGGGATTATCAAGATCGGCATCCGCGCCCCTCTCCTTAATTAAATCCTACTGGCACGGGGTAGAACAAGATAGAGGGGGTAAAGGGGGGTGAATTATTATCGGAGGTACTGGGTTACTTGTCGAAGACGGCAAAGCAACGGCCCTGTCGTGTCCAGGGGGCCACGAGGCTCCCTCCCTCCCACGACGCCTCCGGCCCAGCAGCAGCAGAAGCGTGCCCTCCCATCCCCGCGCCTCCCCCCGCGCCCCGTGGCTCAGGCAGGAGGCCTCCCCAAAACATGGCGTCCGAGCAGGCGGGGTTTCGGAGGAGCGCGCCGCAGCGCCGAGGCAATCACCGATGCAGCAGCGACGTCGGGATGAGAGAAGCGCGCTCGGGATCGCGGCGCATCGCGAGGGCATCGGCGATGCAGCGCGATCCTCCGACCGTGCATGAACTCGGACCCCATCTGGAAGGCCTGGAAGAGATGGGGGGGGGCGAGTGGTGTCTGTGACGACGGGCTGGCGGGTGCCTTCCCCGCGAGCGTAGCCGTCCGCCGACGCGTCGAACGTGAAGCAGCGCCCCTTGGGCGAGAGCATCCCTGGCCCGCTGAGCGCGATGTACGGGCAAAAGGCTGAAGCCCCACACCCTTGCTTCTGGCAGGCCCCTCCTCCTCCTCCTCCTGCTCCTCCTCCTCCTGCTCCTGCTCCTCCTGCCCCTCCTCCTCCTCCTGCTCCTTCTGCTCCGCCTGCTCCTCCTGCTCCTCCTGCTCCTCCTGCTCCTCCTGCTCCTCCTCATCCTCCTCCTCCTGCTCCTCCTCCTCCTGCTGCTCCTCCTCCTCCTCCTCCTCCTCCTCCTCCTCCTCCTCCTCCTCCTCCTCCTCCTCCTCCTCCTCCTCTGGTCTCCGACGTCCTGACTCTGTCACCGCCACCCCGCGGCCTCTCAGAGCTCTCAGCCCGATCCTCGGGGCCGACTCTTCGGCCAGGGTCGTCGCCTCTGATCGCACCGGGACCCGGAAGCGGCAACGACATCGGCGAAGGACGCCGGGGCCGAAAGCATCACGCTCCACCTCCTCCTCCTCCTCCTCGTCCTCCTTCTCCTCCTTCTCCTCCTCCTCCTCCTCCTCACCCTCTGCTCCTCCTCCTCTCGGTGAGGCTTGGTACCCCGCTCCCCCCCTTCTTGCCTACAAGGAACATCCCTTACTGCAGCTGCGCTGTCGAGCTGTATGGAGCTGCAGCTGCCAGTCCAAGTTGATGACAACAGTGCCTGCATCTAGAGATATTCAGCCTGCAAGGAGCAGGAGGGAAGGGCTACATGTAGAAGGGTTGTGCGGGTAATGGAGTTCAGCCTTTAGTATGTGCCGGCACCGACTATGGTTTGGCTTCCCATCACGAGACCATGCTTGATCTCGCTGTCGATGCTCAGCGACTTCTGATCATCACGCGGGGGTCGCATGGTCTGCTGGCACACCCCCAACGCCACAAGAGAGGAAGAGCAGGCAGTGTCTGCACTGCTGCAAGGCCCTGTCATGCCCATGACGTGGGAGAGCCGACATGCTCCTGGTGAGCATAAGAGGAGAAGCAGCAGCAGCAGCAGGAAAGGGACAAGGGGGAGGAAGAGGAGCAGGAGGAGGAGGAGAACGACGAGGAAGAGGATGAGGAGCAGGACGAGGGCAACGGAGGGGGGAGGACAAAGCTCCTATTGAGCGATTCCGCCCTGGCCACACAAGGTCCAGTCGCCTCGACTGCCTGACCTGGTCCCAGTCGGATCCAGAATCGCCGACGAAAACGCCGCACTTGAAGCCTCTCAACTGGTCCCTCATGTGCTCGGCGCGAGCCAGGCATTCGTAGCCTACTTCCAGGAGGCAGCGCTGGTACGGCGCTATCGCATTCGTGTCCTCGTCGGGAATGCCGAAGAACGCGTTGTCGAAGCACTCGAGCTCTGCCTGCTGCATGAGCCCACCGTGGCGCTGTATGGAGAAGCCGAAGGATTGATCTTCGCGGTAGTACACGTCGATGTCCCATCTGCAGATTGGAATTTCTACCTGCAGGGCCCCTCGTCTCGACCGCCACTCGCATCCCACCCCAAAGCTGAAGGCAGCCCAAACAGGGCCCGGTGGGATTGGGTCGCAGGATCGTGCCGCACCGCCGATGCATCGGCAACGTCAAGACGAAGGTCGGGCTCGGGGTCGCGTCGCATCGCCAATGCATCGGCGATGCAGCGCGATCCGCCGACCCCGTCTGCTCCAGCCTCACCTGGGCGGCATGGACGCCCGTCTTTCGTCCCCTGGAGAGGAGAGCAGGGGAGACGTCTGGGGGGGATTGGGGGAGCTGGACTGGCGGAGGGGACGCAGTAAGAGGTCTCATGTACCTGTGTGTCCGTCCCCGAGAAGAACATGTTCCAGTAAGCCTGCGGATCGTACCCGCACCCAGGATACCGCGTCGTCACCGCCATGACGTTGCTCCTCGCACCGAGGGGCTCCGCAGGGCCGTCGATGACTCGAAGCTGCTGCTCTTTCTCCCGAATCTCCCTCGGCGTGTCCAGCACCCAAGTCTGCAGCGCCAGGCTGTCGCCCTCCGGCCTGTAGCGGAAGTCCATGCCTTGATCGTCGCACCTGAAGACGACCAGCCTGTTCTTCGCCAGCGGGATGGTCGCCTCGTCGAAGTCGTAGGCCTCGCCCTTTGGGGTCAGCTGCAGCTCGCCGCCGCCGCCGTCCACCACATACAGGAGGCACAACTTCCTGGAGGCCACGAACGCGGTGTGGGAGTCCTCTCCATCGCCGGGGTCTACGTCGATGGGTACAGCCCTCATGCGGTGGGCCTCTCCGGGCTCGATGCCGACACGGACCAGTGGATTCGTACGACCCCAGGCGACGAAGGCCTTGTCGTCCTCGAATTCTGGGGTCAGCGGCCACATCGCCGCGGCCAGGACCGTTAGTGCCTTGTCGCAGAAATCTAAGCCGTCCAGGCCATCGAGCGTCATGTCGGGCCCAAATTCTTCGACGTCGTATATCCTCATGCCTACGGCCTCCGCACCGAACTCGTCTCGTGGTTCGTACTGGAGCCAGCAAACCTTGCTGTCGGCCTCCAGCCCGAGGTACTGTTCCTCGATGTCGTCACCGAGAGTCCCATAGCGCAGCATTTTGGCTGCATCCACTGCGCTCTGCGCTCCCAGGTCCCCCAGCATCGTCTGAACCACACAGAAGCCTTTTGTCTTCAGGCTCTCTGCAACCATGGAAGAGAAAATGCCGAAGGACGTCGGACCAGTGGGCCACGTCACGTCGAATCCCCCATCCTCTGGCTCGCCCGGCTCGTACTCGACCAGGCTGCCCTCGGGCAGGTAGAGCAGATGACCGCTGAACGTCTCCACGACGTACTTGCCGAGGCCCGGGTCCCAGCCGACCACGCGGCCCCTCTCCCCGCTCACGTCCAGGGGCTCCCCGCCGAAGCTGTGGGCGCCGGGCTCGGGCTCGTACGGCGCCTCGCCGCCGCGCACCTCCACCAGCAGCCCCTCCAGCGGCCGGAGCTCCGAAGCCATCCGGCCCTGCCAGGGGGACCGCGGGCCGCGAAGGGCGAGCGGAGGCGATCGGGGGCTTGCCAGAGGTGCCTCTGGCCCGAGGTGCCCCCAGCTTCCCGCTCCATCTTGGAACCCCTGGGGAGACCCCATCTGGTCATGAAAAGATCATGACGGGAGGCTTTTCTCTATTCTCGGCCTCTCGGGACCTTGTTACTGGGCCTCGGGACGGTCCAGAAACGACTCAGGATGAAGCACCAGTCCTGGGGAAGGGGTGGAGACCTCTAGGGGTAGACGTTCTTAAAAAATCATGACGTCGGGGGTCTGGGCTTCGAGAGGGCTTCGCTGGAGGCCAGGGGGCCTCCTCGGAAGTCCTAGGGGGCACAGTGGGCCAGGGTTAGGTCGGGCGTGTCCCCCTGCAGGCGGATTTTGAGTGAAAAATGAAACAAATCCCCAACAGTACTCCAAAATGGTCAAGCATACCGGAAAAATCGCCCCCATAGTATTTTTTCACGATGTAAAAGATTCAAAACATATTCAGACAAGAATCGCGAACATGCTAGGAAATTCGTCCCCAAAACGTCCTCCTGTATAGAGGGACGTGCCCGCCTTGAGGCCAGGGGCACGTCTCGCAGCACCGGGGACGAGGCCTCGGCCCCCGTGGCCCGAGCGGCTCGAGCCAAAGGTGGCTGCCGGTGGGAGGCCGAGTGCCCGTCGTGGAGGCCACGCGCGCTGCCGGCCCTCGGCCGCCGCTTCCTGGCGCACGGCATCGGGCGGCCCTCGGCCGCCGCAGGCTCACGCCGCGAGATGACGTCGGCGTGGGTCTCGGACGATGGGCCTGTTTTCCACCACCACCACCACCACCACCATGAGTTGGAGGGGGAGGGGGCCCTCCTCCTCCTCCTCCTCCTCCTCCTCCTCCTCCTCCTCCTCTTCGTCCTCATCCTCCTGCTCCTCCCCCTCCTCCTCCTCCTCCTCTTCGTCCTCCTCCTCCTCCTCCTCCTCCTCCTCGTCGTCCTCCACCTCCTTCCCCCTGTCCAGCTGATGGCAGTGGTGGTGGAGAACCGGCCCCTCATCGGACGACGCGTGGATCCCTCCGCCGCGAACGATCTCGCGGCTCCCCGCTCGCGAAGGATCTCTCCACGGCGGCCGACGTCGGGCCACCGGCGGCGTTCCAGGCCCGCGCCGGGGTCGCCGCCGCGTCCTCGCGGCGCGAACAAGGCCGTATACCCCAGTGCCTGACCACCAAGTCGCCCACAGAACTGTGCTCTCATCAGCTACAAGTTGGGCTGCTGAAGTCAGGAACGCTAGTAAGGAATGAAGCCCCTCTGTGGCTTCAGAACAACCTGGGTGCACGAGAACGGCTAGAGGAACAACCGCGGAAGGACGTAAGGAACATCGAGCCCCCTTCCGAATCCAAACTGTTCCTTATTTGAGCGTCGTGGCTGTACGTCGTGAATTGGAGCCAACTCGCTCAATTCCGACCTGCCCCGTCGCGCACCCGCCAACAAAAACCCATCTGCGAAAGCGGCATGCGACCCGCGACGCACTGGCTATCAACTCCCGCGTAGCGCTGCAGCCTGGACAGACGTTATCGACCTGCTGGCCTGGGGCACATGTAGACGCCCTGGCCAGTCACAGGAAGTGCCAGGTGCCAGGACAATGGAGAGGAGGACGAGGAGGAGCAGCAGTAACAGCATCACGCCCAGCGACCACGAGGGTGAGCCGCTGGGGCGAGGCAGAGAAAAAGAGGGACGGAAGAGGCGGTCGGCCCTCGTGGGCCCCTGCAGGGGTCCACTCCCACCGACCAGACTGCGGACGACGGCTGTGGACGACGTCGCCGACTGCGACGCAGACGGCGACGAGATGATGGCTCCTTCCCTTCTGACGCCAACGACGACGGACCAGGAGGCCGACGCCGGCGGCGAGGACGACGACGGACGACGGACGACTGACGGACGAACCCCTCGACGACGCCGTCGACAGAGGCCGACGTCATCGACGGACGACATCGACGCCGACGCCAACTCCGACAGACGCCTACGACACTCATGGCAGCGACAAACGGAGGCCGCCCAGACGGGGCCGAAAGGCAGCAAGGCTCGGAGGATCGCACCACACCGCCGCTGCATCGCCGACGCACCGGCGAGGCCGGGTCTCATGGCAAAGAGGGCTCCCGATCGCGCCGCATCGCCGCTGCAGTGGCGATCCGGTCACGATCCTCCGACCCCGTCTGCTCGGACAGCACTCGGGAGGACTGGAAAGAGGAGAGGGGGGGCGATTGATGCCTGTGGCGAGGGTCTCTCAGGTGCACGATCCTCCGACCCCGTCTGCTCGGACAGCAGTTGGGAGGACCGGAAAGAGCAGAGGGGGGGGGCGATGGATGTCTGTGGCGAGGGTCTCTCAGGTGCAATTCCTGCGAGCGTACGTACACGTCTGCCGACGCGACGACCGTGGAGCAGCACCCCTTGGGAAAGAACATCCCTGGCCGCTGAACCATCTGCCAGGACCCCGTCTGAGCGGCCCCGGAGACACGTCGACGATATACGACAGACGACGCCAGACGACGTCGACGACGGTTCGCAGAGCGCAGGCCATGCGGGAGGATGGACGCTTTGACGCTTTGCCCAACACAACGTGCAGAGAGCGGATAAAGAAAGAGGAGGCAGGGGCGACAGGTGGAGGAAGCAACTGCTCCGAGTCCGAACAACCCGTGAGGGGCGATGCTACGGCACCCAACCTCTGCGCCACAAGGGGCCAACAAATCTAGCAGAGAAGGAGGAGAGGCACAGGAGGATGAGAAGAGTGCAGGAGGGGCAGGAGAAGAGCTGACGAGGACTGAAGAAGACAAGACAAGGGGCTAGGAGGGCGACGATCGAGCTCGCGTTTTAGTTTTCGGGACATATAACTCGGCGCTAACGTTGCGACACAAACTGCAGCATCGCGAAAGAAAATCACGCCCGGAGCCCCCGACCCCATAATCCTTCGAGCCGCATCGATCTGAGAGGGCCCGGGGCCCGACACTGAGCGAAAACGACCATGGTGTGAACAAAATGCAACCCCGGGATCTCCAGGGAGCCCATGCCCCAGACCCCCGGCGTCACGAGTTGTTCAGAACGTCGACCCCCAGGACGTCAGGACCCCTTCCCCAGGACCGGCTTTTCATCCCGAGTTGTGTCTTGACGGCCTCGCGAGGCTCGGGAGGGCCCCCCAGAGGCCACAAAATACAGAAAAGCCTCCCGGCATGATTTTTGTCACACGTGAGGGCTTCTGGGGAGGGAGAGAGGGGCGGGGAGGGGAAGGAGAGGAGGCAGCTATAGCGGAGCAGGCAGGGGGCGGGAACAAGGGCAGCGGGAGCAGCATCGGGGGCGCTTCCGGGCGGCGCCGGGGACGAGGAGCAGCGGGGCGAGGAGCAAGCTGGGGGGAGGACGACGAGCAGGAGGGTGAGGAGGGGGGGGAGGGGGGGGAGGGAGGGAGGGAGGGAGGGGGAGGGAGGGAGGGGGAGGGAGGAGGGGACGCCGACGACGTCGGCGAGGAGGCCCGCCTCGGGCTCCGCCGCGGCGCCGCCGTCCCCGGGGGCCGCCGCCGGGGCGCCCGCCGCGGGGGCGCCGGCAGGGGCCTCCGCTGCGGGGGCGCCGTCCTCGGGAGGCCTGGTGGCCTGTGCTCGGCCGCCATCGACGCCGCCGTCGTCGGCGACGCCGTCGTCGTCGACGCCGCCGTCGTCGTCGCCGTCGTCGTCGTCGTCGTCGACGACGCCGATGCCATCGCCGACGTCCTCCTCCATCTCCTGGTCCTCCTGCGCCCTCCTCCGCCATCGATCCTCCTCGATCCTCCTCGATCCTGCTCCTCCTCCTCCTCCTCCTCCTTCTCCTCCTCCTCCCCAGTTCCCCTCCTTCTCCTCCTCAGTTTTCCTCCTCAGTCCTCCTCCTCAGTCCTCCTCCTCAGTCCTCCTCCTCCTCCTCCTCCTCCTCCTCCTCCTCCTCCTCCTCCTCCTCCTCAACCATCTTCCCCTCCACCCCTCCTGCTCCAATCCTCCTGCGTGGCCTGCGCTCCCCGAAACGTCGTCGCCAGTCGACGGTCGCAGTCGGGCGCCGCGGCCTGCGCTCGGCGCATGCGCCGAAACGCCGTCGCCTCTCGTCAATGCCGTCGTGGTCGAAGCCGCCGTTGACGACATCGTCGCTCACGAAAGTTTACGGTATGTGATGGGCCGATGTTCCACCACCGCTACCATAGGTAGGAGAAGGAGGAGAGAAGGAGGAGGCGGAGGAAGAGGAGGAGGAGAAGGACGAGGAGGAGGAGGAGGAGGAGGAGGAGGAGGAGGAGCTCCCAATCCTCCCTTCTCCCCCGTCCTACATATGTTAGTGGTGGTGGTATGCTTTTGTTTGTTGGGGTGGGCGACATCCCCAGACCTCCTCGCGTGGTGAAGCCATGACGGCGGGGAAGGGCTCTGCTGCGTTCGGCCTCCGGGGCCCTTCCCGGGCCTCGGGGCGATCAAAAAAGGGCTCGGGATGAAGAACCGGTCCTGGGGGAAGGGCCGAGACCTCTTAGGGTCGACATTGTGAAAAAAATCACGTCGGGGGTCTGGGTCTGGTCCATGCCCCACCCCAGGATGACGGCATGGATATAAACCCGGCCTTTGGAGCCTTGCAACGCAGCTTGTCCATGCCCCGGCTGGCCGCGCCGCTCCGAGCGGGGAGGAGCAGATCGAACGTCGGCCACCGAGTGCTTGGTCTCGTCTGGGCCCTCGGAGCCATCTGGACGCTTCCCAGAACCTTGGGAGACCTGCGGAAAGTTCTGGCGACCTCCAGGGGCCATCGGTCAGCCGTCGCCTGCGTCGTCGTCGTCGTCGTCGTCGTCGTCGAGGTCGTTGCCGATATCGCCGTCGCCCTCGTCCTTCTCCTGCTCTCCCATCCTCCTCCCTCCTCCTCCTCCTCCTCCTCCTCCTCCTCCTCCTCCTCCTCCTCCTCCTCCTCCTCCGCCATCGTTCTCAATCCTCCTCCTCCTCCTCCTCCTCCTCCTCCTCCTCCTCCACATCCTCCTCCTCCTCTTCCTCTTCCTCCTCCCCCGTTATTACCTTTGTTCTCCTTGCCCTCTCTCCTCCTCCGCCTTCTTCTTGATGTTGCCCTCGACCATCGAAGATGGAGGATGGCATTTCCCGCATATTCACGGAAAGCCGCGGCGCCTCGTCTGGCCGACTGGCCGATGTTGCTTTTTTGGCATCCCCTTCCAAAGGCGGCCAATGCCATCCAAGCCTACTGTGACCCCAAATCTCTTCGGACGGAGTCCTTTGCAGAGCGTGGACCGAATGCGCCGCCGTCACGGTGAGGCTGTTGCCGACGCGCACAAAGGGGTAGGGGGAGGGTGGAAGGCTTCATAGAAGAAGGCTGCTTCGTACCCATACCCAATACGACATGATTTTCAGAACGTCGAACCCTAGAGGTCTCGACCCATTCCCCGGAACCGGCTCTTCATCCCGGGTCGCTTGTTGACGGTCCCGAGGCTCAATAAGGGTCCCGAGAGGCCGTCAGTAAGGGTCCCGAGAGGCCGAAAATAGAGAAACAACTCTCGTCATGATTTGTTCATGACCCGAGGGGGTCTGGGCAGCAGGCTTTGCCCCTCCCCCTACCCCCCCTTCTGCGCGTGGACGAGGCTGCTGGCGCCCTCGCGGCGAGTGTCGTTACTGACACGGCGGCAGCCGCCGGGGAGAAAGTCACGCTGTGGCGTCTCGGGCGGCGGCTGGCCTCAAAGCAGGAGGGCTGGTGGTCTGCATCGGCTGTAAAGACCGTGCGTCTGCCCACGAGACACTAAAAGGCCAAGGAAGCACGAAACACGAAACGAGATTCTGCTGTATGTCTGTATCAAGACCAGCAAAAAAAAAGCCGCAGCGACCACATCTGCTGCGTGGCAGCGCGAGGAACGTTCTCAGCTCTTCGCCCTCTGTATAGGGTCTCTTTAAAGAGGCCCGCAACCCCGAGTTCAGGGCGATCCCAGGCCAGGCGCGCCGCGTGACTTTTCCTGGAGGCCGGATGGCCCCAACACAGCCCACGAGGGCCCCGTGGGGCCCCCGAGGATGGCCCCAGGCCGCCGAGTCGCCCCAAGATCCATCCGAGGCGCCCAAGATGGACTCCAGACGGCCGAAGAGGCCCCCGAGAAGCCCCAGAAGGCTTCTAACAGGCCCAAGCAGGCCCCCAAGATACTTCCAAGAGGCGCCCACGAGGCTCCAAGAGTGCCCCAGACGCCCTCTCCTCCTCATTCTCTTCCTCCCCCAAGTGTTCTCCGAAAGGCTCCCACAACGGATGGGGGAAAACATAGGCGATTTCGGAGGCCCTGAACCCAGAAATGTTTTCACCTTTTGGGGGCACATCTTTTACTTCGGCCGCCTTCCGCCGGACTCCGCCCGAGGAGGCGGCCTCGTCTCACTTCCCGCCGACCTTCCGCCGCCCTTCCTCCACTTTCCGCCGCGGAAGAGATGACAACTCCTTGGATCCGCGAAGGCAAGGTGAGCGTTTTTTTATTCGGCGTTTCGACATTGGGCGGAAGGGGCGGGGGTCTGGCTCCGGGCCTGTGCTTGATGCGACTGTTTGGGACCGTGCGTCGCATGGGGGAGGCCCCACCTGCTCGAAACAGGCCAAAGACAGCCAAGATCCACTCCAGGGCGGGGGGGGAGGGAGGGCGGGGGTGCGAGGGCCCGCCCCGATCACATCGTCTGATAGCTTGGCCGAGATTTGGCCGCAGTGGTCGGCCACGCCGGCGCTGCCAAAAGGCACGGTGGCGGCGGTGGCTCGCCCTGGGCGTCTTCGATCCGCCGCCCCCTGCAGCTTGCCACGAATGTGCACGGCTTGCCAGGCTTGCCAGAGGCTCTGTTCTGAAACTTCCCGGTGGGTTTCGGCCGATCGCGCCTGGCCACCCGGAAACAACGTACTCCATCGGCCTTCCCGCAGTTCCGCCCCACTGGGACCCGTAAACTTCCCAGGTCGTCGGTCTCCCCGCTCCAGGCGGCCCAGAGATGGCCTCCAAGACGGCCAACATGGTC